ATTTATATATCCTGCACCCCTTTACAATTGTATTATTTTCTAATTACCAAATGGAGTAAAACTAAAATGAATATTAAAAAAAAATTACTGTTAGCTGTAACTTGAATTTTGTATGGTAAAGAATCTGGAGATAGCCATCCTGCTTAAAATTAAAATACTGCCATTATGATGGAAACAGATTTAAAAGAGCACTAGATAAACTTGAAAACTTACTTCAATGTTTGTATCCTAAAAATAATTATGTATTACTAAAGTGAAGAAGTGTTCAAGGAAAAATAGCTGTAAATAGTGCTAGAACATTATTTGTATATTTAGTGTGTTACCTTACAAAAATAATATTACCAGCACCTTAGTTTAATCTTTGGTGCATTTATTTATTTGCCCAACCTATGGAAGAAGCAAAAGTGAATCTGAATTTTGGAGCTTTCTTATCCACTGTCAAAACGCTTTTACTGACTCAGTGATCTGCTGTTTAAAAACAACCACCAACCAAACTGATAACAAAAGGTTGTTTTCTAAACAAGACTCGGCCAGGAATGTCAAAGCTGAATGTTGTGGCACCCCTTTCTTAACATGCTGTGCCTTACCTTTTCAGAACGGTGTGAGGTAAGTGGGGAGTGTCACTCTCGGCTTTGCTGTTCCCATCTCTGAGGGGTTGCCTTATGTTTTTCTTTGGACTTCAGCACTTAAGACATTCACTACCCTTCTGCGAAAGTCAGACTGCAAAGGTGCAGTTGGTATTTGATTTTTTAAAAAATAAAGTTAATGAGAAGTGTCTGTTCATTAAGTATTCCTAGTGAATTCCTGTACATAATGAATCAGATTTGTACATTCTGCTGTTTTTATTTAGTGTTAGATGTATAAAGTTATGGTTATTTCTGTCACCAAATAAACTAAGCTCTGCAATGAATTGCTCTTTCAAGAAACTTTCTTTTTCTCCAGGGAAAGAAGATGTTGCATATTCCTCTGCAATATTTCACTTTCCATATACAGACAGAGTCTGGCTTGGATAGTTCTGCTAACACCTGTTTTTTAATTCTTGCTTAAGGCCCAAAGAGTTACGGTGTATGAGGAAGGGAAACACTGCCCTCCTCAATTGTGTCAGAACGTGGCTGTACAAGAGCACAGTGCTAATGAACACTGTGGATATTGGTACTGAAATTGCTTTGGCTGCAAGATGAGGTATCTGCTGAGCCCCCCAACACCCAGCTGTAACCATTCCGGTTTGTTTCAGACGTTATTTCTCTTGACTTGGGTGTACAACACTGCACCCCAAAGCAAGCACCAGCCAGCACTTCCATCTTGGCTCTGCCCTGGGATGGATGTCTGAGAAGGGGTTGTGGTGTGGAGGCTGTCCTCCAGTGTCAGTCTCCTGGCTGAAGGATGAGCTGTACAGCTGCCTCCAGCTCTGGGAACAGGGTCCCATGCCTTTCCCTTTGCTGAGTTAAGTGGTGCTTTTAGATGTGGAGTAGTGCAAGCTCTTCTTGTCGTGGCTTTAAATTGTACATGTGAACAGGTTTGGAGCTGCCTCCAGCTCTGGGAACAGGGTCCCATGCCTTTCCCTTTGCTGTTACAGGAATTTCAAGGCAGCACCGATGTTGCAAAAAGCCTGATTATCTTCTGTGGTTCATCCTAAGGGAATGCTAGGAGCTTCTGAACTCCTCTGTGAGCCCCTGTAAGTAACCAAGCTAAGTCTATAAAGAAAAGTGGGGGTTTCAGAAGGCTGAGTGCTGAAGGAGTAAGGTAGGCTTCTATTGAGCAACTACTGCTCCACAGGGATGCAACTACAGATGTACAGCAGCCAAGTGATGTGTGGATAATTTTTTGCCCCGCTTTGTTTCTATGGGAGTTACAACCATGTCATTCCTTGCTGTTAAAGGAAGCACCATGAATTTCTGCAGCCCCAGTGTTTAATGCTAACATCCAGGACCCAGTCTTACAGTTGTGGCCAACAATGTGGTGGAACCCCCCCAGCATCTCTGGAGCAGCTCTTAACCAAGGTCTATTCTCCTGCAGAAAAATTGCAGCTGCTGCAGGCGAGAGGCCCTGGTCACTGTTGTTAGCCTCAAGTGCAGGGCTGTTGGGGAGCACCCTTACAAGGCTCGAGTGACCTTTAAAGGACTTAGCAGAAAGGAAATTTTTTTGTTCCCCTACGAAAAGTTTTGTGCTGCAGGCTTTGTCTCTCCTCAGGGGTCAAGTGCCCTGCCTTCCAGCACCGCTGAGTTAAGTGGTGCTTTTAGATGTGGAGTAGTGCAAGTTCTTCTTGTCCTGGCTTTAAATTGTACATGTGAACAGGACTGTCACACAAGCACCTGAGTAACAGAACTAAAGCAGCCTTTTAGGCCCTTGTTTCACAGTTACCTGTACAGCGCCTGCAGCTGTAGATGGCAGCTGCTGTGAGTGGGGACACTTCTGTCACCAAAGCACTGCTGTGATTCTGTAACGAGCTACTGAGCATCAGCCAACACCTTACATGCAACTAATCTTTACAAATCAGGGGATGCTGGGGGGAAAGGAGAGATATTTACATTTTTATTATAACTTGCATTAACTTTAGATTAATAACTTGTACTCCTCGGAAAACATCAATATGGACTCATGACTTCAAGTTTTAGTTGAGCTCTTGCTACAGAACCACAAAGACTTTTTGCACATCCATCTCATCAGGAACTCCAGTCCCAAGAAACAGATGTAAGAACTGAGCCACATGCCAAGCAGAAGTTTTCCAGACCTTGTTCCATGCCACTGCAAGTCCATGCTCTGGTTACCAGCCACTCCTGCCTCCTCCTTAGCCAGCCTGAGGGGCAGCTGGCATTGGAGTGTCCAGACCTCACAAAGCTGCAGAGGTGTGGGCAGTAAATCTTGGGCTCCACCACTGCAGACTGCTAAATGCAAGTCTGCAAACACAAATGGAGCATGCTGTGTCCAGAGTTAAAGTGTAACAGTTGATGTTCCGTGCTTTTAATTCCATGGATAACTATGCACCTACCCAGAGGCAATGGCTCCACATTATTAGACATGAGCCACTTCCCTAAGTAAGCACTATGTAAGATGCCAGTATTTCAAAATTAGACAACAGTAGATCTTTTTGTTAATGAAAGCTGAAGAAATAAGGGATGTCTTAATAGGATAAGGTAAAAAAGCAAACTTAATTCTCCAACATTTATAGTGTTCTAGTGAGTCATGACAGAGATACTAGACAACAAATTCTGGTGAGTTTAGAACATAACCTTCCCTTTTGCAGCTTAAGAGCAGAACTACTCAGCATTCCTCAACTTATATAAGGAATTCAAAAACACCAAATCTCTTTGCAGAACACCCTTTAAAGCTACCAAATACACAGACAAAAAGCCTCGAAACCCTGTAGCTTCTTCAAAGATTTTTCTTATCTTACAGCAACCTATAAAGAGTTCTAGTGACCATGAATTCCAATAGTTTAAAACTTGTTTGCCTCTTCAGGAAATAGAAGTTACGTTTTCTCAAAAGCTGACTCTTCCTGCCAAGTCTCTTTGGAAAGCCAGCTTTGGTACAGCCACTGGCAGCACACGGAGCTCAGCAGAGTACTGTGAGTTCTGATAAGGGGTGCTCTACAAGCCTGGCAGCCTGGAGATGGAGCTCACCAGGCCTGATGGCAGCTGTGGCTGCTGCCTTGGGGCTCCCAGGAACACCACAGCCAAAGTTTGGGATTGAGTCATCTCTGATAATGGCTCAAGTTGGGAACTGGCACCCCTCAGTCACCTTAGAGACAGGCTGGGGACTGCTTCCTGCGGATAAAATCTCCATTTGGAGAAGCTGGACAATGCACCTCCCATGCTTTAAAGGAATGAAATTAGGCAAGGGCCACACCCAGCACTGCCTGAAACATGCCATCACAGTTCACTGCACTGTTTGGTGGAGCTGTTTTGTTTTGGAATCTTGGGAGGGCACTTTTCTTGCCTTTTGGTTTTTTTTTTTTTGTTTTGTTTTTTTGGGATTTTTTGGGGGGTGGGGGGCTTTTTCATTATTTTAATACAGTTAGATGAGTTTGGATCCATTTGCAAGCCAGCAGGCTCAGAGCAGCCCAGCTGCAAGACAGCAGAGAAGGTTATGGGTAACTGCTCCCACCTTCACCTTATGTCATCAGTGTTCTGCAGGCTGCTCAGGAACCAATTCCTGTTAAGCAAGCATGAGTCCCATGGGATAAAACCACACAAGCTGGCATTTCAAACACTGACAGGCACACACAGTGTGCTGTACTAAGCAGTTCAAGGTCTCAGCATACCTCCTGAAGCATTTCAGCTAAATCAGGTCATTTATCACGAGTTTCAGGATTCTTGAACATCTTTAGAAAAAAAAAAAAGCCAAACCAACTAACAAAAAAAATCACACAAAGAACAACAACAAAAAAAAGGCTCTCTGCATACAATAACCATGACTACTCTAACAAGAGCCTACAGCTTCAAGTTAATCCCAGCTACCATTTACCTTGATGATATTGTTCAGATCAGTCAGTTTGTTCTTGCAAGTGTCAGACATTAAACAACAGCAGACAAAACCCAGCTTGTTTGGCACCCAGTCCTGAGGAGACTGAGGCCATCCTGATGGATTTGCTCCAATGAAGCCCAGAGAAGGAAGAGAACACTTGCACTGGGTGAGGCAGGATCACTGCTCACCTTCAGCTGAGATTTAGAAGTTGCTGCAGTCTCTCACAAGGTCTAGGTTTATTTAATGACCATGGAAGTAAGAAGATAAAATTTTTGCTCTCTCAGTTGCATGGAAGATATTTCATAGCATGTCTGCCCTTCACCTAGCAATTTCTTAAATGATTTTGAAGTACAAAAATTCTAGGTATGAACATCAGACAAAGATATAAAGAAGGTGGTGGTAGGTTAATTAAAACAAGGAATAGAACTCTGAGTCATTCTTATTTGAAGTTCTGTTTTGCTTTGTTCCTATACAAGTGATTGATATAGTATGAACCAGCTACTGAGGAGCACAAGAAAATAGCTATTCACTATGGATTACCACTATCTTAAAGGGATTTATTTAAACAAACATAACCACATGTGATGAAAATAAGTGAAAAGTTTGTGTTGCCTAGTTCCAGTAATGCCCAAATTGGTTTTGGAAGTCCTGAAAGTCAGTTTTGAAAGTGTGTTTTAAATAAACCAAATATTTCTGCTATGGAAGAAAAATAATGTATACATTTTTATGTTAAGTTTATAACAAGGCTTTTAAAAGAAAACAGTTACAGGTATTCAACTGCATCAGACTTCAAAAGAAAAGAAGATTACACATACAATACAAAAATACAAAAAAATATTTTTAGAACTTACAAACTCAAAAGTCTAAGTGGTCAGAGCTTTCCTAAAATAAAAATAATAATAAAAAAATACATTTCAAGATGCACTTTCCTTTCTGCACTTGCAAGTTCAACTTTCACAAGAAGACAGTTTTAGAGGCAGGATGAAAGCAACTAATATATTGAATGCTACAACCATTTTCCAGCTGAAATTAATTTAGTGGTTGACACTATCAGGTATTTGAGTTTAAACGAACCTTATTTGGGGTATGGGAGGTGGTGCTGTTGGGGCAGGTGGTGGTATTGCTGTTGATAATGTTCTATTTAACCAGTTCTGTTAATAAAATGTTTTTACAAATAGGCAATCTAAATTAGACTTAAACTTAAACAGTCACTACTAGCACTGAAATCCTTCAGCACTGTCCTGCAGTATGGAAGCTAAGAAATAAACTGACCAGATTCATGTCACTGCTGAAAATCACTGCAAAAGGAAGACAGGCAGGAAAAGGTCAAATTTTATTTCTGAAGCTGATACTTGCTAGGAACAGCAGGACTGCAGATACAGAATTCTTTGACCTGATAGTGTCCACTGAGGTCATAGGCATCAAGGCATTTTGTCTTAAATGACAAGACAGGGAAAGTGCATCTTAGATTTTTCATACTTAAGCAGTGAGTTACTGATTTTTGGTGTGGCTTTTATTCCTTCTAGGCATAGTAAAGAAAAATATTTCAATCAAAGGTGAAGCTTAATGTACATTAGCTTGTATTTTTGGTGGTGGTTTTTGTGTACCACTAGGAAATGCTAACAAGCACTACTCAAGGCTAATGATTTAAAAGGAGCACACTGAAAATACTGATTTACCTTTGTAATGAATATTCTTTACAGACTGTATCTAATATACAGACAAGGCCCATTTCCTTAGGACAGAACAGGCCACTGAAGGTTACACACCCTACATGAAGTTTTAAACAAAATCAGAGCTAAGTTACCAGAGCCACTCAGAGCAACGTAATTCCTAGTTTGCAGAGACTTAACAAAAGGTGACTGCAGGGAGAAAAAAAATCCAAGTTCTTACTATTTCCTGTGTAAGATTATATTCAAAGTAATAGTCCAGTAACACTTCTAGTACAAGACAATGCTCACTCTCTTTAGCAGAATTCATAGGAGTCAACTGTTTCTCCTGTTACGAAGAGGGAGCCAGAAGTGAGAATGCAAGAGCATTCAATTTTAACCTGATTAAAGAGACAGTAACCTTTTTCATCCACCTTATTTAATCACTGACAAAAAAAATTATCTTAAAAAGGTACCACTCCAATTTCTTTATTATCTGTAACCTTTTGAAACTAATCACATGAACTACAAAATTAGCAAATGCCTTGAAATCTGTATACAAAACATAAATTACCTCTAATTTCAAACTCATTTATTAGTGTACCACTCAAAGTCTTAAAAAAGTGGCTCCAAAGATAGTCTCATACCATTCTTAAAAAAGGAAACTGTTCCTTTAATGTTACACCCTCCCCTCCCCCCAAAACACCCAACTTGTAATCCACATCATTTAGTTGTTTTCTTGGTCATGGACATTTCCAAGATGAGATTTTATATTTCGTTCCCATAGCTTCTGGTTGTCAGAAAATCCATGCTTTCCTTTATTGAACGAATTTGGTCCTGCTGAAGTTGGTGTATCCCTGTGAAAAGCAAAACAAGAGCAGTTGAGAAAGCCAGCTCAACTACAGTACACTGTGCCACGTGACACTGAAAATGCCAATTTCAAGCCCAGTCTGCCCCTCTACCACACAAACTTCTTTCTGTTACATCAGGAGCCCTCACTATTTGCAACTGTGAGCTGGCCACAGAATTGATCTGTACACAGTATGTCAAAATACAGCGATGAGATGGAGCAGGAGAGGAGGTGGCAGTGGCAGTAACTGCTGCCAACTGAGGATCTAAATTTGTTACTGTAGAAAAAAGAAAAACCACCAAACTAGAGAACTTTCAGAGTGACTGACTTTAAAAGCAGTCTATCATGATAAACACCTCTGAAATACAAATTCTCAAAATTCATCCCTAATTTAAGTGAAGCCTCCTCTGAAAAGGCCCCTACTTATTTTAGGACTGTTCCCCTACCATCTCAAATGTGGACAAGCAGAAGAATTACACGATTTATTATTAAAAAAAAGAAGCAATTCTTTGGAAGCAATTCTTTGTCTGAGAGATGATTCTTATCTTCCGTTGCACATGAGTTTAAAGATGTGACCAGACTACCTACTTCAAGGCAATACACTTACAAAAAAAAAAAAAAAAAAACCAAAAAAACCAAAACAAAACAAAAAAACCCTTCTATTTAATGCAGACTCAATTTCCTCCACAAAAAATGTAAATAAGATTCAAAGTTCAAATGCAAATGTAGTACTTTTAACCTGTAGATGACGCATTTGAAAATCTTGTTTCTGGAGAAACAATCTTCTTTAACCTGTTCTACCTCCTTGTACTCTCAAGCCATCCTCAGGATCTGCCCTGAGCTGGTATCCACACACTCACCCTGCTCCAGAGCACAGATCAAAGCTGCCCTACCTTCCGATGTTCTTCATGCGCATCTTGGCTTCGGGGGGCATTTCCTCTGGTTCGCTCTGCAGGGACAAAGGAGGTCAGAGCGGGGCCTTTGGACACCTCAAAGGCCTGACAAGAGAAAGGCTGGACTACAGCCCTAAGGACAGCAAAGTGACTTTGGACACAATGCAGCTCCTACATGGTTCCAGAACAAAATATAAATTCCTTTGTTCAACTCCATGAAAGAAGGAGCAGCAATATGACAACAAAATATTTAGCAAACCAGAAGCACAACTTTCCTTGGCCTCCCCCTAATCAAGCCTAGAGAGAGCAAGACATAATTTGAATTATGTTGTGCATCTTATTTTCAGGGAGAAGTTATCAACATTTTAATGATTTCTTTAACACAGAGCTATTGTGCATTCTTAATCAGAGCCAAAAAAGATGCTTCTAGGTTGAAAATTCCTGACATTTATGATAAGAACCATAAATAACCCAGTGTCTGCCTACCATACCAATGGTATTTTGTGTTGATCACAGGCTTATTACTCACATCTTCATCTTCATTGAAAGCTGCTGCTACAGAAAGGGTTTTTGGAGCCAGAGTTGGAACAGGCTCTTTAGGCTTCTGGAAAAGACAAAATGCACAAGTAACGTAAGTCTACTAACTCAAAAAAGCTATCCTTGGCTTTTTAAGTATTTTGGTAAAATTAAATCAAACATCTTCACTGAAATGGGCAACTGGGGGAAAGTTTTTGTCTGAATCAAGCACATAAAGGATTCTCTAATGACAAAGGAAAATGACTGCTCATTTGTGTGTGATCACTCTGAGCAGCAAGCTGAGCCCTCTCATGTAACAGCTCCCCACATGCAGGTCTTCACTTTCTAGCACACTGCAGGAGCACTCAGCCACTGGTGCATGACATGAACAATTAAAACAGAACCTGAATAACTTGTGGTATTCAAAATTTTACTGCGTCATTATTTCCATTATTCTTTTGGTATATTCTTATCCATCAATGTCAGAAAAAAAAATGTTTATTTTCTTCCATTTTAACGATGTGATGGCTTTCTGGCTTAAAACAATTCAATGCTTTTAAACTACTATCAATATCTAGCTCACAGTCCAATTAATGTAAGTTCCTTTAAAGAGTATTTCTTTTATTTCCAATTATTAATTCCTCTATTTAAGGTGTAGGAAGCTGTCAAACTCACAACTGTACTACAACAGTGGTACCAAGAGTTACTTCAACACCACTGAGAAAAAAAACCAAGTAACTAGTAACAGATTGCTACTACAGTACTAAATCAATCATGTACAGTGTTTTCTCCATTTTGCCTTTACTGTTAATTCTTTGCACACTCCTAGAAGCTGGTACTGCAGCAGAGCCCTTATGCAACTGCCTACAGCTGTTCTTACTGATACTGCACAACATATAAATACCACACCATTTTTAAAGCATCCGTGCCCAAGGAGTGGGGAATGTACTAGGGGAGTAAAAATGACTGAAGAGAAACAGGTACATTTCAGCACTGTCCATCACCCACTAAGTTCAGTGAACCAGAAATCCTGAGCCAAATTTATTGCCACTTTGGAAATGAGAAACTGAAGCATGCTAAAACCCCACAGAAGGAAGCCTTGTTCATTTTTCCAAAGTCTGAGCTGACCTGGCTGCATTTATACCCTAGAATGCTGCCAGCCCACATCTCCCTTCCATCTCAAAATACCAGAGCACCCTTTTAATCCTCTGCAGGTTTCCAAAATGCTGGCATTGCGGGTGCAAGCCTTTCACCATTAGAGTTTGAATTTGGGGCAGACAGCTACTGATAGTATCCACCACAGTGACAGGTGGGAAATGGAAATGAGCTGTATTAAACAGAGAGGCAGCCCCTGGCTTGTCCTTGGCCAAGCCAGTGGAGGATTACTCTGGAAGTAGAGAGTCATCAGATTCACATCTGAACAAGCACAAGGATACCTTGTCCTGGACGATCAAGGGAATCAGAATTCTTAGGAATCTATGTAACAAAGCCACATCTCTTGCATTTAACACGAATAAATCACACTGACCTTGCAAAGAACAGGCAAAGTCATGGAAATATGCTACAATTCCCCATCCTAAAATAAGATCTTTGGAGTGGGTAACCTATTAAGCCATCTAGATGCTTTCTTCTAGCTTTAAGCATCCTATGCAATGAAGCTCCCAGAACTCATTTCAAAGTAGCCTGAACAGCTTAACAAGTCTGCTCATTTCCCTAAGGAAATTATTGCAGACTTATCAAACCTCATTATAAAATTATTCTGCATGTTCAAAGATCTACAGTTCATTTCAATCAAGCCTTATGATTCCTGAGACTACTGACCTGTTATTAATCACCTTGAAGTACTTACACATGCACGACTAGCTGGCCCTGCAATGCCTGTTTGAGCTTTACCCAAGTGACCCTCATGGGAATTCAAGGTTTCCTCTGCAAGGAAGCCTCCCCAAAGTACTTCCCTTTTCCCTCAGTTTCCCTAAAATTAAAAGCCCACAGTAAACTTACATTTGCTCCCAGTTTGATGGATATTGCAGATGCCTTCTTTGTTGTCTGACTGCCTATGGAAAATCCAAACTTGGACATTTTGGCAGGAGCAGGCTTTGTGGTGAAGTCTTCAGCTTCTTCATTAGCTGCCCGTTTCTCTGCGCTGCGACTCGAACTTTCTCCTCCATTACTGGAAGAAACAGTCTTAGTTTTCACAGGTTTTTCTGCCTCTTCTTCAGGTCCTGGTGAAGTCGAAACAACTTACCAAGATGAGCTACTTTTACTGAGCAGATTGATGGGAGCAGCAACCTCAAAAAGCATTATACTTTGGGTGCAATAGGTAAGATGTTTTTAGTGACAGCAGTTTCCAGCAATGTATATTTAGTGGACAGCAAAACACAAAGAGAAGAAGAAACTGCAAGCACTCCACTACTTGTAAAGAACTTCTTGTATGAGCCAGGAAAACAATCTTGAAGCACCATCTCTTTATTTAGTATGGAAGTCAAAGTTCATGTAGTAAATTAAATGTAGATGACTAAATCTTTTTAAATTTTTAAGTTGCCACAGATAAGCTTTCATAATTGGAATCCCAATTCCAAATCTAGAGTAGATAATCTAAGTTAAAATTAATTCTACTAAATTTCTACAAAATCATGTCCATGCCAGTCTCTATGCTTGTCTGGCACAAGTCTAAAACCATGGGAGTGACTACAGTGAGGCCAGCTGTCTCAATCATCTTTCAAGTCACTGCTTGTCCACATCTCATCTGTAATAAATCTGCCAAGCTCTGCTTGAGGAAGGAATCAGCACTAAAAAAGCATATATATAGATTTCATCTTTTCTGGGTTTGTATAGTCATGGAAAACACAGCAGCTGAACAGTGATCCACAGAGAAAAAACATTCAAGTAACACTTCCATTCCTATAAAATCAGCTTCTTCAGCTACACCAAGAGACAAAGGTGTCCTTGGAAAACTCACAGGGAACAGAGTAAATGCTTCAGCAAAAAGACACTTCCCTGCTGCTGCAATAAGCAAACCACTGCAGCAGCAGAAGGGGGGAAAAAACAAACACACATTAAGGAATGGACAGGGAAGTGCTCACAGCAGCAGTTTAAAACAACTGGAGCTAGCACAAGTTCCTCATCACATCAAATGGAGAAGAGCACCTTCCATGCACAGCAAATTCCGACCATCAGGGGATAAAGCTCTTTGCACTGCTAATGCAAAAAGCTACTAGGTAAGATGAAGCAATGGGAGAGAAGAAAGTCTGAACTGGGGGTCAACAAGATTGTAGCTCTGAGAAAAAAAAAAAGAAGCAAACAACATCAGGAAAGAGAAAAACTAGGGACTCAATCTATATATATTTGTCTGCTATTTCCCAAATCAGAAGAAGCAGAATATACCACTTCTACCCCACTCTTCCAGGTATCAATAAGTGATTGAAAACAAAATGGATTTATCATTCATCTTCAGAAATATGGCAATCACAAAAAAATTGTAACTTTAATCAGTTTCACTGTATTTAAAAAATGCTACTAGAAATTTGATCCAGAAAATATAGATATAAAAATGAAAAACAAAGGAGGAAAGAGAAACAATCAAAATTTACACAAGTGACCTTGGGCACTGGAAGCTGTCTTAGCAGAGTTTACAAACAGCAATCTGCAGAGGCTGTGAGAGCATCCTTACATTTCATCCATAAAATCACATTAAACAATGTTCCAAGTGCACCCTCAGTACACTAGAGACTGATTCAAGGGTAAGCAGAAGATTCACTGGCCTTAAAATTGCTGGAACCATAGGGCTAAGTCTTCTTTTTTATAATATACAAAATCCACAGCAGCCCAAAATTCAGGGCACAGGGAACCAGTTCCTAGACTAGTGCAAGCCTGAAGGTTATTACACTGCTCCTTACACCTTACTTCTTTAAAGTGCAAATTCTCAAATACCACCAAGCACAAGATGAAGCCTAATACAATCTACCCACATCTGTTTTCTCACCAAATCCTAAATGGCATCTCTCTCAGAATCAGTTCCTATCAGCTCTGCATTCTGAGCATTATTTCTACTGGGCTTGCCAAAGGCTGAACACCAGACTGCTGAAAGAAACACTCGTGCTGGGTGAGAAGGCTGTGAGGGGCACAGGACAAGTGGGGAAGGTGGGGAGGGAGCTGTTGTGCTGCTTGGTTTCTGCAGGAACCAGAAACGCAGGCACATTTACCATTCAACAGGTCTCCACCATCTCCCATGCCAGCCCAGAAATATATTCCAAGATACCAAGGCTGCTTTATCACTTCCTGGAGGTCACACTTCACCTACAGAAAGCACCAGTACCATTTCCAAACCAGTGCCCTTTCCATGGATTGCAGACACACACAGTTGTCCTCCTTCACAGCGAAGTTTTACTCATGTGAATCAACAAGCCACACGGGTGGGCAACTTCCACAGCCCAGGTGGCAGAAGGGACAAGAGTGACAGTGCCAGCTGCACAGCATTGCAGGATCTGTTGCTCCTGGGAACCACTGGGGCATGTGGGAACAGACCAGTCACAGCTAAATTAATTTTAAGATAAGCCCCACTATCTTGTCAAAAGCTAAGAACTGCAAATTGCTTTCAGAAATCCTCAAAGAACAGCTATTATTCCTGAGGGCCAAGGTACCTCAACTCATTCAGATCGTGTTTCAGCACACAAGACAGTATGAATTACTGATGTGCTGATGCTGTCCAGTTACTGTATTACTAATAAAAAAAAAACAACCCAATACCACCACCAAAAAATAAAAAACAAAAAGCCACCAAAGCCCAACAGAGAACCAAGAGTCAAGGAACTACCTAAAATCAATACTCTTCAAATATGAGTGATTATCAGAAATAACATTCACTCCTGAGGTTATCCTCGTTGGTTTACAACCCCAATTTAATTTTTCAACAGATCTAAGAAGTGCCCTCTCCCTACAGAGATATTAAAACAAAAAGAAGAGACACACCAAGAAAGGAAAGCTTTATCTTTGCAAAGCCACTGTCCTCTCAACTTTAAGGGAAGAAAGAAGAAAAGAAACACACAATTAAAATTTTCGAACCAAATACTGCAGAAATTACAGGAATGTCCAGTCATAACATAAATACTACAAAAACCAAACAGCAAACTTACAGATTGTTGCCAAGCAAAAAATCCCCAAATGCTTAAAACAGCAATTAAAGAATATTCACTGTACCCATTTATAAAAAAGGTACCATAATTGTTGAAAGTTAAATCTTTTAAGGCTGTCTTCATCCTTGCAGACAGCAACAGCCGTATTTCTCTCAGAACACGGCGTAAGTACTCCGCGTATTTTTAGGAGAGAGAAACAGCGCACTTGCACGGACAAGGAGAAGCTGGTGGATTTTTACAAAAGCGCCGGTGAAGCTGAGCACAGCAGGCGCGACCGGCCTCTCCTCCGGCGCAGTCCCCTCAGGCCCAGGCCACCCGCTCTCCCCGCAGGGCCGGGCACCGCACGGCCCGGCCCCGGCAACTCACGGCCGGCTGAGGCACACCTGGATTCACCCCCCCGGCCCAGAGCCCGTTCCCACCCCACAGCTCCGCGGCGAGAGGCGCTACATGTTCACCTCCTGCGGGCTGCGGCCGCTTCGCCTTCTCCCCCTCGGCTCTGCCGTCCGCCATTTTCCCCCGCCTCCTCCGCCGCCTCACGCGCCGCGCACGCGCGCCGCTCGCGGCCCGCCCCCCCGCGGGGCCCCGCTCGCGGCCGGGCCGGCCCCGCCCCTGCGGCGCGCGGGGATGGCGCGGCGGGAACAGCGGTCGTGTGGAGCCGCCACGAACACACGGCTTCCATTCCCTCCCCCGGGGAATCAAAGTCACCGGGAACGGCGGGAGCGCGCCGGGCCGGCGGTCGTGTGGAGCCGCCACGAACACCCGGCTTCCATTCCCTCCCCCGGGAATCAAAGTCACCCCCCCGGCACCGCACCCTGAGCCTCTGTGTCTCGGGGGCGCGGAGGAACCGCGTCCGCTGCTGCGCCCTCCTCACTGCGCGTGGTTTAACGCTCACCTCCCTCCCGTGATTCACAATGCCATTCACTACCTCACTGCCTCCGCGGTGTGTATAAATACCTAAGGCGTGTGGAGGTGGTGCGCCAAGAAGAAGGATCCAGTGGTGCCAAGCAATGGGACAAGAGGCAACGGGCAGGAACCGATGCGCAAAAGTTCCACCTGAACTGAGGAAGAGCTTTCCTGTGCAGTGACCGAGCAGGGCAGGTTGCTCAGAGGGCTATGGAGTCTTCCTTGCTGGGGATATTCAAGAGCCGTCCAGATGCAACCCTGTGCCATGTGCTCCGGGATGACCCTGCTTGATTCAGGAGGCTGGACCAGGTGACCCACTGTGGCCCTTTCCAACCTGCCCAGTGTGTGATTCTGTGACACGAGCTCAAGGCAGCAGTGACACCGCCTTCCCGCACCCCAGTGTGCAAGCCAGTTCACAGAGCAGAAGAGGCTGTTTGTATGGAGGAAGAGCAAATGACAGAACCCACCCCATGGCAGGGGTTGGACCTAGATGAAGCCCCTTCCAGTCCAAACCATTCCACAGTTCTGTGACACCCAGCAGCACGCAGCTCCACTGAGGAAAGTCTGCTTGAGTGAGGCACACACACTCACACAGCCAGTCCTTGCACTTCAGGGCTTCCCAGGCAGCTGAAGGCAGCTCTCAAGCATCACCTGGAACACCACCCTAGGGTGAAGCTTTGTGTACTTCCCAACCACACACAGCTGAAAGGAGCCAGGTCTTTCCCTGTGCCAGAGGTGATCCATGCCTGCAGGCCCCTGCCCCTCACAACAGGCAGTGAAGGGCAGTATCAAGGCAGTGAATCTTCTGCCTTCCAAGCCCCACCTTACAACAGCAGGTAAGAAGGGGTCACCAGGGAGTGGGTCACCACCAGCTCATCATCTGCCATCACTGACTTTAAGCATCACCCACAAAGAAAGCCCTCCTCATCCCACAGACCTGTATTTAGCTGCCCACGGCAGCTCTGCAGCCTGAACACAGACTTCCAGAGAGAAACCAATAAATTTTGAGCTGTGAGAAATATTAAAAGGCTCTCTGATCTTCTAAGTATTTACTAATAGGACAGTTTACCATCTCAGAAGTTCCAGCACTTTGGGAAATATTCATTACATGGCCTGAAAACACAAGCACTCTGGAATAAAAGTCTTACACAAAAGTAGGTTAATTTTTTTTCAGCACAGTCAAGAAATTTGCCTGATTCCTTCCAAACAGGGACTTTATTTGTGCCAGATAGAACATCCAGAAACAAATGGTGTAGTTCCCCAAACTCACACAAGGTTTTAACCATTTAGTTCAGCTATCAAAGGTCAATTCATTTGCATACAAGAGGATTCTGGAAGTAATGGGGAGAGGTCTCTTCTACTTCATCTTAGTGATCTTACAGAATAAAACTGTAGACAGCCTCCAAAGCAGAGAGCTCTGAAGACCTTTGCATTCAGTGGTGCAATCACCCTTGTGCAAGCACAGCTCAACTGAACAGACTGACAGTCTTTGTGTAGATTTATTTTTTTACAACATATTATCTTATTTCTCTTACATAATTTCAGTAATGTGTGAATAAATTTAAACAGCTGGACTACTAAAGTAATTAAAAAACCCAACTCTTAATGATGGTAATTTCAAACATAAGCAACAAAACATGTTCTGAGATTAAAAGCTGAAGAGAGTTCCAGATGGACCAAGAAGATGGCACAGTCTGTGTGTAAAAAATTAATTTTCCTCCCCATCACTCTACTTTTGCTTTAGTTTATACCTCTGGGGGTAGTTTTTGGCAAATTGCTTTTCTGCTTTTTCCCGTCCCTTTCCAAGTTTGAGTGTGTTGATCAGGTCTAACGTTTTTTTCAATTCCTTTACAGGCTTGTTTACAAAGCCACAGCATTTCCTTTTCGGAACAAATTCCAGAGCCTTCTTCCAGTCAGCAGTATCTTTCAAGGTTAATAAAATATGCATCATTTGATCCAGTGTGAGATTTTTGGCACCAGTATTCCAAAGCAAATACTTCTCCAGTGGAAGGGCTGCAGTCTCCAGTCCTAATCGCTTTGCCCGTGCTAAAGAGACTCCTGTTTTTATGCTCCTGTCAACCATTGACCCAACAATATAGATCTTATCGTGATCAAATGTTTTCATTACTTTGGGAGAATCAGCTGTCAGATAGATGAGCTTATCCTTTGGAAAGATTTCTGTGTAGCACTGGTCTGTCACTGTGATAAGCAGTTTGTCCCATGCCTCCCTATAATTCTTGATAAATTCCCTGTGATAGAGGCTATCATCTTTGAAGTTACAGAAGTGGATGTGGAATGGATCCACAGATTTCCGATTGCTGCTTTCACTCATTACTATCTGTCTCACTGTATTTGAGACTTCTCGGACAGACATCTCTTTTTCATAGGACATGTCAAATACCAGAGGCTGGCCAAAGATCATGGACTGAGCAGCCCTCCAATTGTATGCTTTATCCATAGTGCGGGACCAGAAATGTAGGAATGGGCTCTTTTTGATCTCATCTGGTTTTGAATCTTGATCTTGTGCTTCCAGCCTCCTTTCCCTTTTCTCTTCCATCTTTCTCTTGTCATTTTTCTTGTGAAGTTCTTTGAGATGCAAATATTTTAAATACTTCTTTTTAGCTGACTTAGAAGGACACTCCATAAAGGTTTTTAGCTGTTCTTCACTAATATTTTCTGGAACTGCTCTGCCAGCTAGCCTCCACATCTCCAAAGTCTCACGTGCAGCAGCCAAACTGGAAAGCTCCTTAGGCTCTGAGGCCACCTCAATGACCTCTTCTTGCAACCCAGATTTCATTACCTTCTTCCACTCATCTAAATCCAGTTTTTCTGAGGGCTCATGTGACTTGTCTTGCTTCAGACAAAGTGATGAACTCAGAGTTCTACTGAGTGGAAACAAATCCTTTTTCATCCCATGTTGCGTGGCAAATGGAAGGACAGAACTTCTTACAATTCTTCTCAGAAGCATATTAGCAGACTGCATATTTAGACATGTGCTGTGTTGCAACATTTATCTGCAGTAAGAGGGGAAAAAAACTTGTCAGAAATCACAAAGAAAACACATGCAGATTTTTATTCTTAGTAACACTGACAGACAATAGGTTACTTCTTGGAGGATGCTAGAAATTCCTCCTTCTACGATGATTTTACTGCTTCCTAAATAAAAACAGCTTAAACCAGCTATACTTACTGCAATTCAACCTTCAAGAACTGTCCAAGATCTCTTCAAGTTATCTGGATCATACGATGAGCCTTCACAACCAGTCAGAGAAATGCTGCATGCAAACCAGAAGTATTTTTATATAATTTATCTATCCTGTGAAAACAGAAAGAAGAGATGGAAGAATAACAACTAGTACAAGAAAAGACCATCTTTTCTCTTTTTGCTAAATTGTCTGTGAAGTTGGCATAGGCACATAAAGCTGAAGACATAAATCCCCCCAGTCCCATTAATTTTATCCACATTGGTATTTAAATATGAAAGGTCTGCAAAAAGAAAAACACACCCAAGAACATTTAATAGTTTCCTTGGCCTATGCACATTACTGAACTAAGCCTCAGTGGAGTTTCAGTCCTTGAGCAAACGTGATTTGGACAAAACTAGAATTAATTCCTAATTTTTAAATCAAAATTCATAATCCTCCTAATAAACTGAAAATAATGTGATACACAGAACAAGAAGTTAGATCTAATATTGGGTTTTTAAATATGTACCTGCTCAGGTGAGAGGCACAGTGTATTATTTAGAAATGTTATATAATCTGGCATGCGTTTTACTACACAGTAATTGGTCAAATTGGTGGCAGACCTCTCATGTTCTACCATTACCAAGATAAAAGAAACAAGAACAACCAAGCAACCTAACAATGTGAAAAATTTTAAGTGCTACAGTGGAAGTATCCCTAATTTTACAGTGAATAATTTAACTACTGGCAGAAGTAATAAGCAAAGAAGCATGGAGAAATCAAGGGTTCAGCTCCTTAATTAACTCACATTACTGGAGCTCCATTTAAGTCAATATTGAGCACCAGATTTACACTGTCAGAATACCTGATGACAGCTTTTGATAGAGCCAAGTTACCTTCCAGTGTGTCATTCACGAACATCATTACTGCAAGTATCAATCTAAGGCTCTTTAAAGAACCTAGATTTGTAGTACTAAAGTATTTTTCTTTTCTTTTTTAGCATGACTTCACTGCAACTCATCTCAATAAAAGAAAGGCTCTTCACTGATACTTCAGACTGAACAACTTGCCTTACTTCTCCAGCACAGCTGCCCACTCAGAATCACAGGCTGAGTAAAGTTGCAAGAAGTCACAGTGGATGTGATGTGGTCCAGCTCCTCTGCTCAAGCAGGGTCATCCCAGAGACACGGCACAGGGTTGTGTCTGGACTATCTGGAATACCTCCAGTAAGGGAGACTCCACAGCCCCTCTGTTCAGTGCACGACTACCTGCAGAGTACAGGAGTTGCTCCTCATGTTCAGGTGGAAGGTCTGTGCCTCAGGTTCTGCCCATTGCTTCTTGCCTCATGGCCTGGCACCACGGGCACGAGCCCGGACCCACACCCTCGGCTCTCCTTTTAGACACTCACTGCCTGCAGGGGAGCAGCACTGCAGTGTTTAACAACTTTTAAACCAGCCCACGAGCACCCGAGCCGCCGAGCGCCAGCCCACACCCCTCAGCCCTCCCGGGACACCGGCGGGGCCCGCGGCCTCCGGGGCACCGCGCCGCGGCTGGCGAGAAGCACCTGCCGGACGTCCGGCCGCACTCCCGCCCGCCGGGGCTCGGTCGGGGCAGAGCAGGGCCGGTCGGACCCCGAGGGACCCCGAGGGACCCCGAGGCGCGCCGCGGTCTTTTTCAT